TTTGAACAATAGTATATTTGTTTTCTATTTTATTTTCTTTTCTTTTTTAGCTATCCAATGATGGGAAAGCATCCAATGATCATGATAGATTGAGCATAAGGCTTGGTAGACCTTTGGTTTACTGGCTCGATTGGTCCTTGGCTTCTGATGGTTCACGAGTTGGCTGCTTGGAGCTTATGGCATTGAGCTCATTCTCTTAAGTTGTTGAGCTGAAGTTTAGTAGCTCATTAATATCCAAAAAGGTACCTCATTAAGAAGATTTATTTTTGGAGTGGCCTTGTCCCTTCCCCTTCCCCTTTTCTTCTTGTCTCTTGGAAATCCGTGGTTTTCTCTTTAATGATGGTTGAATTATATGCTTAAGAAGTTATATGAGGTGCTGTTTTTCCATGCTTTACCTCTTTGAATTCCGGCCATTTGCTGTTTTCCACACTTGGGACTTTTCCCGAGTCCGTGACTCCTTGGTTCCATGCGTGAGGCTTGGTTCCCGTGAATGCTTCTTCGATTTCTAGTTTGGGATGATTTTTGAAACACATAGGGAAGATTTCTATGCTTATTTAGCTTAGAATCTTGTGAACATTAACTAAGGTGGCTTTTGGCATTCCTCTACTTTGCCTATAAATAAGAGATGATGAAGTGAAGGCAATTGATATTTGTGAGCATATTTGCTATTAACCTGCGGGTTTAATCGGAAATCCTGCGGGCTCTTTCCCCCCTCTTTTCTCATCCCCTCCGGAAATCCTGCGGGCTCTTTCCACCCTTTCTTCTCGGGCTTCTAACCTCTTCGTCTCTCCGCAAGTGCCACTCCATCTGTATCCTTCTTCTCAACAGTGAAGCAACTTTAGGGTGTCGTGTCTTGGTTGATTTGGAAGCATTTGGACAGTCTTGCAGTGGTGGACCATCGGTTTGCTAGTCTTATGCACTTCTTTATTTAATCTACTATTCGATGCATGTGAGGAACCCGCTCTGACGGTTGTCTGAGGATAGCGTCTTTTTTTTATTTTTTTAAAATCTCCTAGTATTTCTTGTTGTGTTTGTCAAGTTTTAGTTGTCTGCTTTTATTTTAATAAAGTTTGTTTTAAGTTCTATCCATTGCGTCTGTTTCTTCTTGTGTGTCTACATCACTTTGGCTCATCATCTTAATAAGTGAATATTCTAACTATTATTCCTAGACATGTAAAGCAAGGGAATAAATTAGCCAATCTTAATGCTTATAACATGAAACAAACAAATTGGGTCAAAATACTGATGCTAGGTGACATCTACTTTCATAAATAGATGCAAATACATGCATTCAAATGTATCTGAAAAAAAATTATAATGTACTAATTAAATTATACCTATTAGTTTGATATCCATCTCTTTGTTACTCAAACACTCAATACGAACATCTTTCCTCTTTCATGTGCTCGTATTAAATATTATAAATGTTGGTGGCCATAAGATAAGATTTATCGATGGACAAAGAAACAAATACTTTTTCTTTGTTCCAGCATAGTAAAAAGAGAATAAATATGCATCAATGTGAGATGAGCTACAAAAAAAAATACTACTCGAAGTTGCAATGGCGTTTAGCTTTGATGCCAAGATGCTGGTTAGGTATCTAGCTGGATATTGGATCTGTTAGAGAAATGAGGGAGAAAAAGTAATTAAGATAGAGACAAAAAGTTGGATATAGTTAGAAAGATGTCCTAAAATTTCTTTTATTTATTCTGATTTCTCAAAGAATTGAGTTTTCACATCCTCAAAAAAAAATTTTGAACATCAATACAGATTCAAATTGTGTTTTCTTAAGTGGTTGATATATCATAGAATAAATTGATCAAACATTTGACAGTATTAAAATTGGAAGTGATTAGCTAAAAGGATCAAATCCCTAATAACCTACATCAAATGATAGTACAACTTATTTTGTACGAAAGAGTTTGATAGGTGGATGAATCCAATGGGGAATAACATAAGTTAATGAATCAAATTCAATCAAGATAAAGGCAAGATCTTAACCTTAATGACCAAGCATGGATCAGAAGGGACATCTTTGGATACCAAAGGATTTTCATTTGATTCAGATATCTTAGTTGAAGCTAACTTTTCAAGCTACTCCATTCACACTAGTAGTATAAAAATGTATAAAGAATTGAAGTCACTATTCTGGTGGCCTAGAATAAAGAAAGATATAATTGATTTTGTGTTTAAGTGTAACGCATGTCAAGTAATAAAAGCTGAACGTTAAAAACCCAATAGAATGTCATAGTCATTACATATGCTCGACCATTGCACATACATTTTGGTTGACTTCAAGTCTTTTTATTCAATTGTCATGATACCCCACACACTCGATAATTGCAACGCGAGCCTCTTGATTATGATCATACTCTAGACACATACAAATATTTGTGATCATTTGATTGTGCATCTCGCCATGATCACGATCATTATTTCATCGCAAATCTCACTGCGATCACGATTTTTGTTTGATTAGCCTTGCTGTAATCACGGTCGTGAATGCCTCATCATTTGATCAATTATATTTTATGTTGTCCAAATCAGGTGGATTAGTTGTCGATATGTGTGCATATTATTTTGAAAATTTTGATATAATTAACCTATTAGGATACACATATGCAACCCTATACCTGTGAACATTTTCAAAGAAATAATAGTTGAAGTGATTTTAAAAATAATATAAATTTTGAAGGTCATAAACGAGTTTTATTATTTTGTAAATTCTAAATAATATTTTTATTTTGAGGAAACCACATCTACCTTCTCCTAAAAACTGCCTATTACCGACGTAAATTAGTCATGTGTGAATATGTATGTACATATATATAGATATACATATAAATAGAATAATATGTATATAAACATGCTATATATTTATAAATACATTTATATGTACTAGTAAAAATGCTCGTGCATTAAATGCACGTGAATAAAAATTTAAAAATAAAAAATTCATATTATAAACATTTGAATTATATTATCATTATAAAGATGAAAAAAATTTATTATTATAAATAATTATAATCATTATGATAAGTTTTATATGATTAGATAAATAGTTTTATATGACATGGATTTTTTATTATTCATGAATAATCTTGATATTAAATTATGTTATTAGTTAATAAACATAATATTTATTTTTTCAGCACGATATCCTAGAAAGTTATAAGTTTTTTTTTTAAAATTGCACGTTAATAAAATTTCAAACATTAATAATAAATAAAAAATTAAATGAATAAATTTGAGTGGGTTGACTGGAGCATGGAGTGAACCAAAGCACTCAAAATGACTCACATACTAACTTTAGGCGGCAACAGAGAAGTCGGCCTTTAGGACAATTGGTTTTGATGGTAGTAATTCGAGTCTGCATTCGCCTAACTAAGCAGTCAAAGTTTTAGTGGTAGGTTTGTTGGATAGATTTATGACTTTACCTTGAATATCTTTAAAAAACACAAACAAATATAAGAACTTTTCCCTTATATGTTTGTGATTAATAAAATCAAGTTCAACTCAATGTGACCTTATGGGGTCAACATTTGTGTTATCTTTCAAATATGTGATTGTCGGTGATATGATCTCCAACTCCATTTGAATAGTTAAGGATTAATGATCTTCAACAAATGTTATATATTAGTGTTGCACATCTTTGATTGTGATCCCACTTATCTAATACAACCTCAATATGTTTAGAAAAATAGGACCTCTGGTATTTGTAATTGCCTTGCCTTGTAACATCAATCTTAGTTGTACTTTCAAGTGATTGACAAGCTTCCAATTTTTTTGTATTTTACAACAAGAGAAGTATGGACAATTTCTAGAGTTGTTTCTATAGCAAATCTATGCAAATTCCAAATCTGTAAACTTGTGATATTAAGAAAATTCTTATTCCATGGAGATATCTCTTAAAACAACTCAAGAGGTGATGCAGTTCCATGGAGACCTCTGGTATTTTTAATTACCATCAAACAGTTCTTGTTCTTCTTAAAACAACTCAAGCTCTATAATAAGTTTTTTTACATCTCAACATGTCTTTTCTCCAGTATTTCTCATTCTGTCTAATGAAATCCTTTCGTTCAAGCTAAGAAAGACCCATAATGGCAAGAGGTGATGCATTCAAAGATTTGATCTCTATAAGAAAACAATACTTGGTCACCTACTACTATCCCTCAAGGTAAAAAAACCCATAGGTTGTAAAAGATTTTATAAGATCATGTATAAATTAGATGGGATTATGAGCATTACAAGGCTTAGTTGGTTGCCAAAGGCTACAAAGAGACTGAAGGGATGGACTATAATGAAGTTTTTTCTTCCTGCTTATATTTAGCAAGGGAAGAACTTTGTATGACAACCAAAAAAATTGTTGTATTACTTGAAGCAAGCGTGTTGCAATTGATTTCATAAATTCTCCAGTAGTAATGATAACTGTTATTTCTTGCTCACAGTTGTTATGTCTCTTGCAGGACAAATTTTGACATCTTTTTAAAAGAAAATTGGAGCCTTGGGAGAAAAAATGTGCTCTCCTGAAACTCAAAAAGGATTTATAGGAGTAAGAGACAAATTTTTATAGATTTTTTTTTTGAAAATTTTACTATATTTTTGAAATTTTCAAAGTATGAGATTGATTATTTTTCTTTTTTTAATATTTAAAATAGGAAATAATTTTTAAAAAAGAAAAATTGTGTACAACAAATTTGCCCCCTAAGGCTACTGAGTGATGTGGGTAGCACAAGGCTATGACCTAGGCCTACCAACACTTAGTTTGGGACATTCAAGTTTGTTTTCGGACCCAAATATGTCTTTTAAGTTGTTTGAGGATCTCTTGAAACCATTGTTATACTCAATTTTGAAAATTTTGGAGCCTAAAGAACCATTCAGATTGACTTTTCAGACTAAACGAGCCAAATCAAATACTTATACTTAAAATTGTAAACTTTCTAAACCTATTATGGCCTCAAACAACAAGTATTCAGGTAAAGGCAGTTACCGAGAAGTCATAAATAACAAGAGACCAATTTGAATGAATAGATATAGAGTTCATGGCCATATATGCAAAAGAAAAAATGGGTTTGCAAGAAATCTCAAAGCCGTTGCTAATCAGTCTTCAGGTACAGAAATCAAAGCATTAAAGGAAAGAAAGCAACTACAAATTTTACCTTTCTTTGTCCTTGATTCCACCTTGATCATCAACCCAAAAGAGGTGTAAGCAAGCATAAATTACGCTACACTGATCAGGCTTTTTCAAAAGCTTTGCAGAATATTGCCAAGGAAAAAGGAAGAAATGAACTCTGAAGTTCATAATAAATAGACTTAAAAATGAATGAGCATGTGTATAAAACCCACCCGTGGCCTTACGGGTTAGCATATCTCTATTCGCAACCCCCAATACATTCATCATCCTCTACAGAGTTCCAATAATTATGAATTTCCGTCACTTGAGCTTTTGAATCCTACATAGATTATAGAGAAAGAAAATAAAAGATGGTAACTAAATGAATAATAGTAGTACAAACAACAAAATACTTCATTGAGCAAATAACCATTGATAAAATAATAACACCTAATTAGGCTTGAAAATTGTATTCTAGTTTCTTACTACAACCTCTTCTTCATATAATATAAATGCCTGAGTAAAAAACTCATACGCAATGGGTTCAAGATCACAATCATTGGCAGCCTGAGAAAATATCAAATCAGAAACAATAGCTACTGTTGAAGGCAGAATAGAGATATAACCTTAATTGAAAGTTTAAAACCTCTGCATATTATAAGTACAACCTCAAGGCAAGTTCGGGTGAAAGAACACATGATAGTGCCTCAATGGTCTAAAAAATATCGACAATAGAAAGATAATGAATAAAAAACATTCAAATGAAGGAGATTAGGAGAAGAAAGGATTCCAACTCAAGCTCTATCACTATCAATAGAAAGCACTGAATTGCAACTCTGCATTCTATCCCATTCCGTTTTCCAACCCATTAACAACATTGATTTGCAATCTATTAAATATAAAAAATCAGCATTCAAAGTGCATACATTATAATATATAAGGATGGAACTTAGTGACTGAGGTAGCTCAATAGATCTATGGCTAGTTAAAATTTAAAAGGGCTTATGAGGTACCTCTCAACTCATAAGTGCAAAAGAACAATAGTCTTCAAAGCAATGCATCATTCAATAATGTTACCAGACATAAAAAAGGTGAAAAAAAACAGCAGTTGTAGTGTTTCCTTGTTCTTCTACTTATTTTCTTACATGATCTTTAGTGTTAACTAACAAGTGAATTTGGCTCAACTGATGTTGATATACTAAAACTGCAAATCATATTACAAATAAAACTCAGATGAATTTCTATGGCTAGTTAAAATTTAAAAGGTCTTGTTTGAGAAATATTAATGATGACTTTGATCGCTTAAAATCAATTAAACTATCAGTAAAAAAAAAATAGGTATATGAACAAAATATAGTGTAATCTTTATTGAGTCTTCATAACAAATGTATGTCAACATGTAGACTATCAAAACAAAAAATGACAAATTAAATCAACTCTGCAGCATCGTCTGTATATAGACACCATTATTCTACTCATAAAAGCATGACTATGTTTAGATTGATGTCTCTCAATGATGTACTTAGGTACAACGATGGCTCAAATTATCTTTAATAGAAAAATCATAAGGAATTACTTGTTTATTTATAGTGAAATTAAAAAAAATCAATTGCATAATTTATAACCAATTTGGGGATATTCAAAATCATCAAACAGAAATTTAGGTGACCGCGATGATCACAAGTGCATTGTTATAGAGAACAAAAACATTTTGATCTCAGAACGGTAATATGAGCTCAAACCTCCAACTTTACCTTAAAAGAAGCAGCTTTGTTAGATGGTACAAGCATAAGTGCAAAGAAAAAGGTTTGAATAGATTGAAAAAATAGCATATATAACTAAAGGAAACAGCTGTTTTTTTGCACCAAGCAACCACGCACTTCTCTAGCCCCTAGCATACAAATTCAAGTAAAACTATTAATAATACGAGCATATTTGATTCACCCACTTAAATTTCACAGTAGATGAAATTATTAAAAGTTGTAATTTATTAAAGCACCTCACTATTACAAGAAACAAAAAAATAATAATGTCATAAGCACTTCAGTCAAATATATGCTCAGAAAGAGTTTAGGCTGAACTGAAACCTTTGAGCTCTAGAATTTCTTCTACAATCCTCTCCCTTTGATAATCAAGTATTTTTAGGTTTCTCTCAAGCTTCCCAACCTGATCTCCAAGTTTGCAACTTCATCGTCCTGTTTCTAAGAGAGACAAGTATGGGACATAAACAGAACATTTCCAGTAATAGTCAAAGGAACCTTACAAGGATAATGCTCCGGTAAAGAAGATAAAATTTGGATTTCAAAAAAAATGATTTGTTATTGTAAACTTTTCTCACTAAAGATCACCTCATACAAAAAACTGAGATAACTATCATGTAGCATAAATATCTTGACTAATGCTCATATTCATACAAAATGATTGATACTGTAAAGAGAAAGGGAGGAAGAAGACAATACCAACAAGCTTAGGAAGAGTTTTCATCATATTTGCAATGCAATGAAGAAAAAGGAAGAAGCTTTCTTTTCCTGATAGTATATGTAAAGCAATAAAAAAAGATGATAAAAGAATTGATCTTTATAACCCAACAAGCCATAATCCATAAAATGAAATAAAATAGTAGAATTTGAATGACATAATCGTTTATTCCATAAGTTATCATTTTTATTTTATTTACCAAAATATAAAATAGCAAAATAACTTCATAAATAAAAGGATGAAAAAGAAATAATCATCTTCTTTAGGTCCCCCTTCAAGGTTAATTGCAGCACATAGATTGGGGCAAGTCGTTTTTTTCGCTTCATAACAATTGATCCTTACACAGAAAAATATAACTCTTTGGGGTAAATTCAACAACAACAAACAACAACAACATCAAGCCTTTATCCCACTACGTGGGGTCGGCTACATGAATCCTTTTTCTCCATTGTGTTCTATTAAAAGTCAAATTCTCGTTTAAACCTAATAAAGAAAGGTCATTCCTAATATTTTCTAACCAAGTCTTTTTAGGTCTACCCCTACCTTTCTTAACATAAGTCAAATCTAATACCTCTACTCTCCTAACCGGGTCATCGAAAGGTCGTCGTTTTATGTGACCAAACCATGTAAGGCGACTCTCTCTAATCTTATCTTCTACTGAAGCTACTCCAACCTTTTCACGTATATGCTCATTTCGTATCCTATCTCTAAGGGTAAAGCCACTCATCCACCTGAGCATTCTCATCTCTGCCACACTTAACTTAGTATTATGCTTCTCTTTTAATGGCCAACATTCGGCACCATAAAGCATTGCAGGCCTCACTACCATCTTATAGAATTTTCCCTTAAGTTTGAGGGGTACATTTCTATCACATAACAAGCCTGATGCATTCCTCCACTTCAACCATCCAACTTGAATTCTGCTGATAATATCCCCATATATTTCACCATCACTCTGAACAATTGATCCAAGATATCTAAAACGTGTACTCTTATTAATGACTTGATCGCCCAAAGTCACAATCCCCTCACTAGGTCTATTACTACTAAAATTACACTCCATATATTCCGTTTTAGATCTACTCAAGCGAAAACCTTTAGACTCTAAGGTTGACCTCCATAATTCAATTGGAACTTTATCATATGCTTTTTCTAAATCAATAAATATCATATGTAGATCCTCCTTATTTTCTCTATATTTCTCCATCAAACCTCTTAATAAATGTATGGCTTCCATAGTCGACCTACCCGGCATGAATCCAAATTGATTTTGAGAAACATTAGTATCACGCCGCAACCTATGCTCCATAACTCGCTCCCATAGTTTTAAAGTATGACACATTAACTTAATACCTCTATAATTCGCACAATCTTGTGCATCACCTTTATTCTTAAAAATAGGAATTAACATACTCATTCTCCACTCATCTGGCATCTTTTTAGTCTTCAAAATAGTATTAAAAAGTTTAGTAAGCCATGAAATTCCTTCATCTCCTAAGCATTTCCACACCTCTATTGGGATATCATCAGGTCCAACAGCTTTTCCACCCTTCATTTTCTTTAAAGCCTCTCTAATTTCAGTTTTACTAATATGCCGATAAAAACATAAATCTTTATTTTCATCTAGGGTGCTAAGGTCACTATAGTCAATCTTATTTTCACAATCTTCATTAAAAAGTTTAGCAAAATATCTCATCCATCTTTGTTGAATATCATCTTCTAAGAAAAGTATTTTTTGATCTTCATCTTTAATACACTTCACTTGAACTAAATCCTTACTACTCCTATCTCTTTGTTTGGCTAACTTATACATATATCTTTCTCCCTCTTTAGTATCTAATCTATTATATAAATCACTAAAAGCTAATGCCTTTGCATCGCATATTGCTTTCTTAGCATCCTTACGAGCCACTTTATATATTTCTCAATTATCATAATTTTTAAAATTAAACCAATTTTTATAACAAAGCTTCTTATTTTTAATTTTTTCTTGCACATTAGGATTCCACCACCAACTATTTTTACTATTGGGAGCTTTTCCCTTTGATACTCCAAGGACATCTTTTGCAATATTCTTAATATCAGTAGCCACTTTTTCCCACATAATATTAGCATCCTCATGCACAGACAAAATCTTAAGATCTAAAATCTTATTTCCAAAAATATTTTTGTTAATATTCTTTAAATGCCCCCATTTAATTCTAGAAAATTGTTTTACTTTATTTTTTATTTTATGCCCCTTTATCTTAAAGTCCAAAACTAATAATCGATGTTGGGTACATAAATTTTCACTCGGAATAACTTTACAATCTTTGCAATCTAAACGATTTAATTTTCTAATAAGAAAATAGTCAATCTGGGTTGTATTATATCCATTTTTATAAGTGATGAGATGCTCATTCCTTTTCTTAAAAAAGGTATTAGCAATTAAAAAATTATAAGCTAAACAAAAATCCAATATGGTCTTGCCACCTTCATTCGTCGTTCCAAATCCATGGCCACCATGAATGCTTTTAAAATCATCTACCTCTCTACCAACATGTCCATTTAAATCTCCTCCAATAAAAACTCTTTCTTCAAGAGGTATATTTTGTATTAATTCTTCTAAGTCATTCCAAAAATTTAATTTAGAACTCATATCCAAACCTACTTGAGGAGCATAAGCACTTATAATATTAACAATCTTATCATCAACAACAATCTTTAAAGCTATAATTCTATCTCCAATTCTATTAATTTTTATAACATTATCCTTTAAACTCTTATCTATAATGACACCTACACCATTTCTAGTACGACTCCTACCCGAATACCAAAGTTTAAATCCTAAACTATCAATTTCCTTAGCCTTCTCTCCAACCC